AGGCGACCTCAGAAATGGTTCCAAGATTGGATCTGCAATTGCAGGTGCGGGGGTGGTCGGCGCAGAACCGATCTGCACCGCCTCGAGGAGCTCTCCGACTCTGTCAGCGTTGATGACCCACGAGATGGATCCGACCGTGAAGATCTGGCCGGGCTGCGGAAGGGACAAAGAGCCTGCGGAAAAAGCCATCTTGTTCGACAAGGAAACAGCACGCATACCCCTACCTGGCGCGCCAACTGTCGATAGAATATCGTCGGCAGTCCTCCGAGGGATATCCCACGAAGGTAGATTGATCAGCAGAGGAGCGCGTGATCAAGAACAAGAAGGCAACAGAGACACACGAGTTAGACAGGTTCAGGCCGTCAGTATGACGTAATACCCTACTCATGTGATCTGTTGGATTGTATTGGCTATCGTATGATATTGCGTGAGTTTGGAGGGGGTCCCTACCCGCCTTATATAGTCCGGGGGCAGGGTTATAAGTCGGTTAGATCTGAGAGATAACCGGAAAGTAATAACAGTTTACAGAAATCATGGGATCATACGTATCCTAACAAATCTCGTAGTATCTTCAGAATATCTTCCCGGTGTCTTGCGGGAGGCACCGAGCAGAATCGTGCCCCGCAAGGCTTCGTTTTGTGGGCATGGCCGCCCCTGGGGGCACAGCCCATGTGGTCTGTCGTGGGTATCCGGGGTCGTACCCCCCACAGTAGGTGATGCACAATTTCTGTGCTTTATTTTGCTCTCCATTAATCCATAATGATAGATTGATGATCTCATGCATCTTGTAGTACATACTATTTTAAGAGTTCTGGCATTTCAATTCAATGGCAAAACTCATGCCTTCAGAATAAACAGTATGTACGTTTGAGAGACGAGAGGTTGAAGGTACTTCCATAAAATTTCAATGTGTGAGTTCAAGTAGATGGATTATAGGGTGATTGATGGTTCACACTTTCATAAAAGTACCACAGCTAGCTCTGCAATTGGGCATGGTGTACATGTCCAGTCACTCGTTTCGCCAATTTGACAGTGGAATCATTAGCAAATATATATTAGCTAGGAACCTTACCAAACCATTAGAACCAGAAAGCGATCGAGTGTTAATTAAGTGAGAAACAGCAAGATCCTGGTTTCCAAATTCACTAGAAATGCTTTCTGCAGGAAAACAGAAACAGATTACCAAACAATTGGAACACTAGCAAACTGGGGCCTTCACGTGAAACACTTACAACTTCCAGCAAGACGTTTTCCTCGTCTACTCGGAGGCAGATGAGATGAACCTTGAGGCCACAACGTGCTGAAATCAACCACCACACCTATGGCTCCAGACTCATGTCGCATGTACAGATGAAACAAGTAACCAGGCCTTTCACTGATATGTACATGATTTGGTTCTACAGTTTCAAGTAGACGCCTTTCATGTGCAGGAAGGCAGCGGCCAGGCACAAAAGACTATCTCCAGGAGGACGAACGCAAGGTGCGTGCCCCATCATTTCGACTGAAAGAAGGCCTGGAGCAGAGGTTCATTACTTTCTCTATCCCAAATTATAAGACGTTTTGACATTTCTAGATTCGTACCTTTTACTATGTATCTAGACATAATATATATCTAGGTGCGTAGCAAAAGTTATGAATCTAAAAAACCAAAACGTCTTTTATTTTAAAAAAGAGGGAGTAACATTCACCTGAAAGAGAAGGGGAGGTGTTTATAAGAGTGTGTGTTTGTGTGAGCATGGTGGGTGTGTTGTAATTTATTTGTTATCTCTTTTTTAATGCAATGATACGTAGTTGTCCTGCGTATTCTAAAAAAAAAGAGAGAGAGGGGGGTCCCTTATTATGTTTAGCACTTTCTTCCTAAGAAAATAACAAGGGTAAAACCTACAGCACAAGATTTGGTATGCGCAAAATATTGGTGCAAGTGTGAGAGCATACAACAGATTTGGCAACACACAAGACATTTACCAGGTTGTTCTCAGGTGATCATCAATAAAACCCTTAAATAAGGGTGGGGAACAGCTCCAGACTATAAGTGCGTTCATGCCCATCCATTGGAATAGTATGAAGGGCTTCTTAATGTGAATAACATCAAAACCTGCAAAATAGACGGAGCCTATGTAATAGGATGCATCTGAACCCTCTTGCTAGTATCAAGCATTTCCTTCTAATAATCTAGTTTGTTACAAACTCGCCTCTTTTCCACGACGTGCCCTGTGTGTGTAGCGATGTTCGCCATGGCGCACATGCATGAACCGAACAACCCAGGCTGCATCGTGGACCAAGCATGCATTTAGCCACGCGCCTCCCTTAGCCTAGCTGATGCAAAAACAGAAACAAAGGTACATGCACAACAGTTTATTCAACAAGCGGTATGGTCACCAAGTGCAACATGGCAACCGTGCGCGCCCCTGTTCTTGCGGCGCCATATGTCATGACGGCCTGCTGGCAAGATCCATGACACAGTGCTCGCATCGCCGCTCATCCGTGTGCCGCCACCTACGGCTTCAGGTATAGCAGACCTGACGACACGCGACATGGCGAGGATACCCAGCACGCTTGCAGGACATGGCGTCAGGCAGTTACCAGCTCCAGGGCACCAGCTATGAGATCCCTGTAGCTTGATTATTTTTCTCCTACATTCTGCATCGTAGGTAACGTTGTTCCAGATGCCTCCTACTCACAGTGAGCTTTGTTGTTCTTCGATCGCCCAAACTTTCACTATGTCTCTCCCCATACTATGTTGCACTGATTTGAAGCCACTCGCTAGCAGCCACACACACAAGGCTACTTATAAGTTGGAGTCATGGAACAGTATTTTCTTCTCACAACATTTCAGCATAAACCAAATTTTAGTATAAGCGAACAGGGTGTTAGGCTCTTAGCGTCGCACTGACTGACCATTGCCATTCATTATATTATTTCAAGTGCGTATAGCCATTATATTTGCTGCCTATCAACCCGTCTAATTGATGATAAAAACCAAACCATTCTCATGCAATAGGATGCATCTGAACCCTCTTGCTAGTAGCAAGCATTGCCTTCTAATAATCTACTTCATCCACTGTAAATTATAAGATGTTTTGGTTTTTTTAGATACTAGTACAAATGCACATGTGCCACGCACGTGGCTATAAGAATATTTCAGTCTAATGTTGTACCTGTACTAATTTGGTTTAATTGTTTTATTGATGAAGCCGCAACCGTAAGATTGCATTGTTCAACACAAGCAGCAGCAGAGCATCCAGCGCTACGTACTTATAACCGTGAGCTTCAACTTCAAGTTGGCTCGAGCACAAAGTTTCCGGCCTTCCCCATCACACAACCAGGCGACCGAGAAGTAAGGTTTCTTGCTGGCATCACTTTGAAAGCAACTTGTCTCTTATTTTTGTGATGAACCCCTCATGTGCACATGAAAACTAGAAACACTAGTGCCAAGGGAGAGTGGAAATTGGGGTTTGCTCGTCATGGCCGAGGGATCGCATGATTTGGCCTCCAGCGCAAGTAGCCAGGGGCGGATCTAGGCCCCAGGCTGCCCACGCTGCAGCCCGGGGGCGACGCCCAAAAATCCGTTTACAGCACTTTTGTCTAGCCCAAAATGATCCATGAAAATATACATTTAGCCTTACCTGACACTCTCAAACCATAAGCAAACACACTCTTGCACTATTTCAGCCCCCCTTAGAGTTGTTTCTGGATCCGCCACTGCAAGTAGCCATGCATTAAAAGGTTTATTGATTGCTTCGGACCCTGGCCTGGGCAACGCTGCTAGGCAACTCCATCCAACCCTAGGTGTCCAAAATCGGACGTATAGAAGCGCTGCTGCCTGAACTAGGCCCGTGTTCCAGTCCACAAAACAAACAGACACTAACCACACGCATCCTTCCAACAGAGTACGGTATACAACTTAATTGGCTAACAGAGATGACGTTCCAGATGAACCCTACTCGCAATCCACTACTATGTTGTTCTTCTATCTTCAAAACCTTTAACAACGACCCCACAACACACACACACACACATTGTTGCACACTTGCACTAGCGTTGATGATCTACTAGACACCTAGTCACACAAGGGATGCATATTTATAGGATCGGCAGATTTCACATGAAGCTATGATTGCCAGCGACAAGCATGGCACAGATGTTCAAACCATGAATGACCCTGTTCGTTTCGCTGAAATTTGGCTCGTGCTGCTACTTATGCTGATTTGTTGTGAGAGGAAAACACTATTCGCTAGAAAGTACCGCTGACATTGCTTTATTATATTATTGGTCCTGTTCTGTGCTTTATTATATTTTTGCTCTCCATTAATCCATAGATGATAGATGCATGATCTGCAGGATCTTGTAGGACAAAATATTTTAAGAGTTCTGGCATTTCAATTCAATGGCCAAACTCATGCCTTCAAAATAAACATTACAGTATCTTTCATTGATATGTACGTTTGAGAGACGAGAGCTTGAAGGTACTTCCATAAAATTTCATTGTGTGAGTTGAAGTAGATGGATTATAGGGTGATTGATGGTTCACACTTTCATAAAAGTACCACAGCTAGCTCTGCAGTTGGCATGGTGTACATGTCCAGTCACTCATTTCGCCAATTTGACCGTGGAATCATTAGCAAATATATTAGGAACCCTACCAAACCATTAGAATCAGAAAGCGATCGAGTGTTAAGTGAGAAACAGCTGGTTTCCAAATTCACTAGAAATGCCTTCTGCAGGGAAACAGAAACAGTTTACCAAACAACTGGAACATTATCAAACTGGGCCTTCACGTGATGAAACACTTACGACTCCCAGCAAGATGTTTTTCTCGTCTACATGGAGGCAGATGAGAATGAGATGGATCTTGAGGCCACAACGTGCTGAAATCAACCACTACACCTATGGTTCCAGACTCACGTCGCATTTACAGACGAAACTGGGTAACCAGGCCTTTCACCTATATGTGCATGTTGGCAGTTCGGTTCCATCAGAGAAGTTTCGGTGATTTGGTTCTACAGTTTCAAGTAGACGCCTTTCATGTGCAGGAAGCCAGCGGCCAAGCACCAAAAGACTATCTCCAGGAGGACGAACGCCAAGGTGCCCCATCGTTTCGACTGGAAGACGGCCTGGAGCAGAGATTCAGTAACATCCACCTGAAAGAGAAGGGGAGGTTTCCCGTAATATGTTTAGCACTTTTTTCCTGAGAAAATAGCAAGGATAAAACCTACACCGCAAGATTTGGTATGCGCAAAATATTGGTGCAAGTGTGAGAACATATAACAGATTTGGCAACACACGAGACATTTACCAGGTTGTTCTCAGGTGACCGCCAATAAAACCCTTGAATAAGGGTGGGGAACAGCTCGCAAGCAGCTAGAACATAGACTATAAGTGCGTTCATGCCCATCCACTGGAATAGTACGAAGGGCTTCTTAATATGAATAACATCAACCTGCAAAATATACAGAGCCTTTGTAATAGGATGCATCTGAACCATCTGGTAGTAGCAAGTATTGCCTTCTAATAATCTATTAGTTTGTTAGAGTAGATGCATAGACTTTATACAAAGTAATGTAAGGACACAAATAGTCATACAAAAACAAGGACTACAAAAAAATGATATCAAGAATAACATGCTGTTCTTTAGTAATAATATCCAGAGATGGTTCAGCACTCGCAATTTAACAAACAAAATTGAGATTATTAGAATATAAAACTTACTATGTAGTACAACAGCAGCAACAAGAACCCAGATACTCCTCCAGTGAGTAGCATGTAGCTCACTGTATACAAAGGCTTGCTGAAAGGCATGCCTTAAAACCAGCATATACATGTATGTGAGACCCAGAAACTGAAGGATTGGTTAAAATCATAAAATTATGCATGACAGATTCTTGCAAATATGTGGTTACCTAATAATAGCACTAAAAACGCAGAGATCGTCAGCACCACAGAAGCTAGCAGCCATATTAGCATTCGCTTTGAATGATTCTGCAGCAGAAGCAAGGTTGATTTGGAAATGACATTCCGTAACACAATTTTATTTTGTTCAATACTAAAGGGTTCTTACAGATAAGCATATGGTTTAGAAGGTACTGCATTTCAAGTGGCATACCTTGCAATGAATTAAAACATGTCCAAAGAACAAACCAACAAAGCAAGTAACCGCAGCCATCAGCGTACTGCAAAATCAAAATGGGACGTTACCCTGATTTGCCTTCAATAGATGTGCTTAGCTAATTTTGGTTGGGGCAAGGAACAAAGTGTGGTTCATGTAGGATTAGATGTTTTTTTCTCCTTGAATGGGTCATATGTTTATTTTACAGAGCAACAGATGACAACAGAATGTAGACATAACTACCTTAATAAACCCTCGGGATCAAATGGAGCCAGGCACCAATCTGGTGCATTCGGAGGAAGTGGTCCATAATCAGGAGAATTAATACTGCATTCCTATGGGATGAAATTAAAAGGAAAAAAGAAGATAAGTTATGCTTAGGATATGGTATTATGAAGTTTCTGTCCTATAAAAATTTAATGACTTTTGAGTGAAGAAGAGTAAAAAGTAAACATCAGTCCATTTCTTGAATGAAGACCTTTGTCCTTTTGTAGACTGGGTTCTTGTACAGGTGATTTTCACCAAGCAAAACTCGATCTACCAAGCCAACTGCATTGCAAGGTGGTCCAAGACTACCTCTGACTCCACATTGGATCTGCAAATTACCAAAAACAAGTGCAACAAGGTAAGTGCTATGATTAGTAATTTGGCAGTAAAAATAAAGGTAGTAGTGGAAAAAGCTTTCAACTACTCAATGGATTATAATCACATTTCTCCCCTAGGTTTTCTGTTTTCAAACCCGCAAACAACTGGTGGCTCCCAAAAATGCTGGTTGGAACTGGCACTTAGAAAACCTGCTGATCTTTTCTAATTTACACTTCAACTAAGTTCAAATTTCTAACTTCCACGTGATTACTGGCAGGGAACTCTTTCTAAGTTTATTGGTAACTGCCTAGGTTCTCAATCCCTTTCCAATCCTAAAAAGCATTTTTAGTGTAACTTCCCACACAAAAACAGTATCAACACAGTGAATGCTAAAATTTGAATCTTAAAATACACCAACTACTTTTGCAGATGTAAGTACAAAAAAAATTAGCTAATCAGTCAACACAAATGGTGCCAAAGCATAGTAGGTGGAGAATACATCAACCGGAAATAGCTGAATTACAGCAGCTTGAGTACATCTCATACTTTCAAACATATATACAAATGTAATCATCATGTTATTAAAGCTTTGAAAATTATATACAGTATCGAAAGCCGAAAATGTTGTCTCACATAAGACAATTCTCCATTATACAAGTAATTAGAATAAACCAAAGATTCTCTTCTTACCATCTTTGTTTCAATTGAATTGCTTGGGATTGAAAGGGTTGAATTGCTAGTTTGAATTTCAAATTCCCAGTTTGAAACATAAAGGCCAAATACCAAGGCAACATAAAGTACTGTAATAGCTATGGCCATGAACCTTCAGAAGATAAACAAATGTCAGTATTCGTATTAATACATTTTGGTTTTCATAATAAATTCTGAGGTATTCACACAACTAAACTCATATGCAGTACACCCAAACTACAAAGCTCTTATAAGTTGCGGCTAACTGGCTATACAGCTAAATCTTATGTAAACACCGCAGTTTGAACATAACATACATAAGGACTGCTGGAAGTGACATAACTCACTCACTCTCTCTCACACACACACACACAAAGTAGTCACACGGCTGAAGGCTTGTTGTTGCTGCTGCAATAGCAGTGGCAGAGTGTGCAGAGAAAACATGCAGGGGCTAAATTTTTTTTCAATGGCAATCATAACTGGTAGCAGCCATAGATGGAGTACTACTAGGCTCTTGTGTTTGTTTCACAGAGCAATATAGTGAGAATAGTACTATATGCAGTAATAAAACATGCAAGCAAGGGGGGGGGGCGGTGCGGGTGCAAGGTGCAAGAGCCCAGGTTCGCCTCTACGAGGCTCCGCCCGTGTGCAATAGCTTACTTACTCATTTACATAGTTGCATATGCATACGAAGTATGAGTCGGTTTGTGTATGAAGTATGAACTTACCTAGTGCAAGTTGACTGTTGTTCTGCAATCAACAGTCTACAGCTACTGACATAGTTGCAGGATAAGCCTGAAATACTAGCATGCTAGCTAACGAACACTAGAAGTCTACCGAAAGGTCCAGACTACTATTTGGCTGCTTGATTTTCATCCTTACAAGAGAAGTTGATATGGAGTTGCAGACTTCATGCACAAGACTCTGTCATGGTCCAGAATTTCAAAGCTTGCATAAATAAAGGAAAGCATTCCTAACAGATAACTAGACAGGTTGTTCTGAGTTATAGAAAAGATAACTTGATGGCAAAGTTCACTTTACTGAACCAAGGGAAATAATCATAGTGAAGAACTAGGACAGAAGTTCAAGTGTACATTACTGAAATGGTGAATAAGGATTTGTAAAAAAAATAAAAACACGGAAACAATCTTTTTCCAAATTTAAATGCTGCCCATATTGACTAACCACTCCATGAAGTATTTCTTCACAAATGATACAGATGAATCCACCAAATTATTGTTGACAAGCCAAATCTCTGACATTGCTGCTACAAAGTATCCAACAGCTATCCTCTACGAGTACAAGAAGCATGATAGCAATAAGAAATCAAAAGTTTCAAACATTACGTGAATAGAAAAGAAATGGAATACACCAACTTAGATAAATAGACTTGTTTTATTTATCACCTGCAGCACACCTAGCCATCGAATATGATCCAAATCGACACCATAAGTTAGTTTGTGTCGTCCATGAATGTATCCTCCTACAAGTACAAAAGAACACAAGGATAAACTCCAACCTGATAGGAATCCCACAAAATGGGTCGACGAGAGGTACTTGGCAAAGAACTAGCGATAAGTATAACCTTGCAAAATCACACCCAATATGAAAAGTTTTGAAGCCCGAATTGCACCCTTCTTAGTTGCAGCTGTCTTGTTTGGCATTTTCTGCAGTCCAACATCTGCAACTGTCAGAGGTTATTTTTATCCTAATAAATGATTACATTGTGCACCAAGCACCAACCATCCAAGGAAGATATACAGACAAACTGTATTCTGGACAGAGCACAACAGATGTAAAGAGTAATGTCTGTTCCTAGCAGTTAAAGTGTAATGTGAAATCTTACATCATACTTCATCTACAAAGTAGAACTAGCATCCCTCTTATATCCAATGATCATGCATCGCATCTTTTCAATGGTAACCATATTATTGTTTTTAGCATAGGAGCAGCAAGAGAAATGGTTTACAGAATTTCAAGTTAATGAGGTAGCCAAAGTCAACAGATTTCACCAAGGATGTTTTCAATAATCCATTGCCCTGGAAAGTAAGATATGTCTGCAAGTATCTAGCCTTTATACTCAGAAAAAGTGTTGACTTCGCCATTTGGCAGTCGCAGACCTCAACAAGTCCTCTCAAATTTCCCCTTCCATTTGAGGGGCAATTGGATAGCTCAAGCCCTCTCAAATTTCCCCTTCCATTTGAGGGGCAATCGAATAGTTCAACAAATTCCCAACCCATATGGTGGCATCAATTCGCAGCAGCCAGGGTTCAGGATAATAAATCCAAAGATCCAGCATTCTATACAGATTGGTTGCTTCATTCATACTGTGCTCGAGCAGCTAGTAGTTAGTAGTTCAGCATACTACCTTGAAGACGAGTGCGGCGGAGACGCCGATGATGAAGAGGAAGGCGGGCATGACGAAATCCGCGACCGTAACCCCGAACCACGGCGCGTGGTTGATGCCCGGCCACGCCCCGCCGGCGTCGTCCACGAGTATCATCATCTGCGCACGCAACCAGAGTCCACGCCTGAATTTCGGAGCCGCCGAGCAAAGAACCAGCATGGTCTGGATAAAATTTCCACTCACGGCGACGGTGAAGCCGCGGAACACATCGAGCGAGACCACTCTCTCCGGCTTCCGCTGCTCCTCGGGCTGCGCCGCCGCAGCATCCAGAGGCGGATGCTGAGGGGACGGGGGGTCAGTGTAGGGGTGGATCTCTTCGGTCGGGGAGAGCAGGGGGCGGCGGCGGTCGGAGTCGTCACCGTCGCCGGCGATGGCGACGACGGTGTCGTCCATTTTTGGAATTGGGTCTTCTCGCACCGTGCGGGATAGTGATGTGTTAAAGGAACTTATAGTACACGTCAAATTAACTATAACTTAAATTTATACATAAATCTTTTTTTTCTGTTTTCTTTTTTTTTCTACTATCCATTTTTTTAAATCCGTTTTTTTTATCCGTTTCTTTTTTTTTACTATCCATTTTTTTAAATCCGTTTTTTTATCTGTTTCTTTTTTTTTACTATCCATTTTTTTAAAATCCGTTCTCTTACATATGTTTCTTTTCTATCCATTTTTATATGTTTTCTTTTTTTTATCCATTTTTTACTTCGGCACTGCTACTCGGGAGGAGGAATATATTAGTTTGGAAGGTCAAGTAGTGCCAAGAAAGAATACATTTCAATATTTTAAGATTAATGCTACAGAGAGACGAGGATCTTACTCGGGGGAGAAAGATATTAATTTGGAAGGTCAAGTAGTGTCTAGGAAGGATACCTTTCGATATTTATGATTAATGCTACAGAGAGACGGGAATATTGATGAAGATATTAGTCATAGAATCAAAGCAGAGTGGATGAAGTAGCGCTAAGCATATTATGTCCTATGTGACAAAATGGTACCACATAAGCTATAAGAAAAGTTTTATAGGACGACGATTAGACCTGCTATATTGTATGGTACAGAATATTGGCCTACGAAAAGACGACATGTTTAACAGATAAGTGTCGCGAAAATACGTATGTTGTGTTAGATTTGCGGTCATACAAGAAGGGATCGGAACGATGATATACGTGATAGATTAGGGGTAGCATCAATTAAAGAAAAAACTTGTCCAACACCGGTTGAGATGGTTTGGACATGTCCAACGGAGACCTCTAGAAGCACCGGTGCGTAGTAGAATCCTAAGCCAGGATAGTAACGTGAAGAGAGGTATAGGAAAACCGAAGTTGATTTGGGTAGAGACAATAAAATGAGACTTGAAAGCATAGAATATACTTAAAGACTTAGCCTTAGATATGAGTGCTTGAAAAACAGCTATTCATGTGCCTGAACCTTTATGGCTTCTGCTGGGTTTTAATTCTAGCCTACTCTAATTTATTTGGGACTTAAAGATTTTGGTGTTGTTGTTGTTGTTTCATCTTTTTTTTTCTATCCAGTTTTTTTTTCAATCCGTTCTCTTACATCGGCATCTGTTTTCTTTTTTCTATCCAATTTTTTATCATCTTTTTTTCTATCCGTTCTGTTACATCGGCATCTGTTTTCTTTTTTCTCTGTCCGTGAGAGCAATATTTTCTATTCGTTCTTTTACATTGGCGTCTGTTTAGTTCTACTCTCAACGAGAGCAATTTTTTCATCTGTTTCTTCTTTTCTATCCGTCTCTTACATTGGCATCTGTTTTCTTTTTTTCCTATCCATGAGAGCAATTTTTTTCTATCCGTTCTTTTACATTGACATCTGTTTTCTTTACCACCATCTAGTTTTGGTCCATCCTTTTTAGGTTTCAAACAATATTTTATTAGGATTTTCTAACTTGAGTGAAACTCATAACATTTAAGACAGTATTTTGGTTCCTTCTTCATGTATCAGTTCCTTTCTACTCTTATAGTGTGATTTACCGTTCCATTGAGTTTTTTTTTTCATTACACGGATAAAAGAAATATATGATATGTTTCATAATTTAGAATGTGTAGTTAATTGGAACGTTGACGTTATAATTTCCGTGGAACTAAGAACTGTCATTATAATTCACCTATTCTGAGATATGCAATTATAATTTTGTCGCTCCTTGAAATACGCCACACTCTACATAGCTATTTGGATCGTGCCCTGCCAAGCAGCTAGCTGGCCAGGCTATGATCTCAGCCCCAAGCACCCAAAATCCAACGCCTGAGAATTGTGCCTGGCCAGGCAAGTTTCCTTGGGGACACAACCAAACAGACCCTACGTTTGGCAGGGTCCTGGACAACTGTAGGACGACAACCCCATATGTTTTTTTGTACGGACCATAATGCCCCCTACCTCTTTCTTCTTCCTCCTCCTTTCTCCCGCTTACTATCAGGTGACCTTGCATGCTCCAATGACGTCCACGGAACTCCCACACGTTGATTACCACCCTCGTCTCCTCCACTCGACCCGACATTGTTCCTCCCGTGCAACGGGGAGGAGCTTTTCTAGATCTTAGCAAAGGGGCTGGATGGAGAGAAGCTCGCCCAGGGAGGAGTTGTCCCCCACCCTCACGAAAGGTCACCGCGCACCCACCCCTCACGGACCCAACCGCGCTCCACCAAACAGGGAGAGAAGTAGCGAGCGTCGCACGCCCTCCCCTGCTCCCTTACCGCATGATAGCCTCGTGCGTTGCGACTACGGTACCGGCCCCACATTCCTGCGCCTGCACTCACCGCCGTTCCGGCGCCCGAGCTTGTCATCCCGTGCATGCTGAGTCACCCAAGTAGTGAGGGTTGTCGGGAGGGGTGGGTCCTACTTGAAGGGCTCAGAGTCATTGGTGGCCCTTCCCTCTCCCCCAAGTGTGGTGAGGGAGCAAGGTGAGAAGAAGGCGGCCATGGTGTTGGCTTCGAGCGGAGGTGAGATCCTCCCCCAGGGCCCATCCTCACATCTCTGTGTCCCCTTGTTGGGCTCAGCCAATGTAGTATCTAGCATAGTGGGCAGGCAAGGGCTTGCTGCCGGAGAAGACGAGCATGGCGGTGGGGCTACATGTTCTTCTCCAACTCTAGTGGACCTCCCACGGTCGTGCTTGATTTGAGCACAGGCGCTCTGTCCTAGGAAGCATGTGTAGCGGTGTTTGTGATCCATGCTTCCGACTTGTGCTCATGCAAGGTGGAGGAAGATCGAGGGTGGGGTGTGGTCCACATCCATGGTCGGGGTGGGGTCAGCACGGGGAGTCAGCAGCGTGACGGCTGAGGAGAGAGGAAAACAGGAACGCGAAACAAAACAAAAACGCACATGAACCACAAACGGAACCGGGAATAAATGGGAACTCACAAAATAAAACCAAAACGCATACGAACCAAAAAACGGACCGGAACGGCGACACAAAAAATGCATGATTGCCAGACAAAAAATGAGGCAGAAATTTTGATTCTTTAATATTAAGGTATAGATATAAGAATGCAACTCTAAAGGCCGGTTTGGAAGGGCTCCAGACTTCAGCTCTTCGTAAAATAGCTCTGACTCATTTTGTGAAGTAGTGCCTCCGATAGAGATGAAGCCCTTTTGAAAAACGTTCGACGAAGAACGGCTCCCATGATAATTTTGTAATAATTTATATCAAATTTATTTACGAGGTCAAGATAAGCCATGTTTTGTTTTCGCAAGAAGCCAGGTCCTCAATATAAAAGCGACTCCGGATTATTTAAAGTTTCAAACTCTTTGTAAGAGCCATTTTTGGATAGCCGTTTGACACAGCCCAGGGCGAGTGCCGCGCGAAGCCGAAGTCGTGCTAAAGGCCCTGAAGAAATACTGTACGTACCATATTCACTCGTGCGAAACCACCGTGGCCCCATTCTCTTAAACTGCTTTTCAGCCGACAACTTATTTTAGCTTATTTTCTACTATTAAATCAGCCGAGATCAAAAAAAAAAAATCCATTCCAACCTATACCAAAATACACGTTCGCACCGGCCCTCCTTTGCTACCCCCCGGTTGGAACGCCGCCTATATAAATCTCCCTCACCTCCGACTCCCTCTCTCTCTCTCCTTCCCGTTCCCCAATTCGAAATCGAATCGGGTCGGTCTTGACGTGCGTGCGTGCGTGGCTGCGCGGACGACTCGACTGCACACCCCCCGCGCCGCCGCCGGGTCCCCCTAGGGTTTCGCCGCGATGTCGCTCCGGCCGAGCGAGCGGGAGCAGATGCGGAAGGGCAACTACAAGCAGACGGTGGACGCCGAGGAGAGCCGCCGCCGCCGAGAGGGCCAGATGGTGGACATCCGCAAGCTCAAGCGCGAGGAGAGCCTCCAGAAGAAGCGCCGCGACGGCTTCCCCGCCTCCGCCGCCGGCGCCGTGCCGCCGATGGGCCACTCCACCGCGCTCCAGCAGAAGGTGCGGCGCTGCGCTGCCCTGGCTCCCTCGCTCGCTCGCTCTGGCCCCGATCTGATCCGCGCCCCCCGTCGTTAGGGTTTGGGTGGCGGGGGTGGTACTCGATCTGACGGGTTCGGATCTGATTTTCTCCTTGTCTGCTTCAGCTCGATGGCTTGCCGGCGATGGTGCAGGCCGTTCTCTCCAACGACCCCACCGTGCAGCTTGAGGCCACCACGCAGTTCAGGAAGCTGCTCTCCATAGGTGAGATTCGGATCTTATGTGCAGTTACCGTTTCCGGATGGATAGAGTTTAGGGGGTGAGATTTGGGCGGTTTGTCGAGTAGTATTAGGCCATGTGTGACGGTATCTGGGTATGGCCAGTTCTAGGTGCTAAGGTAACTGTCGTATATGGCTCTGGATTGCGGGGTGGCAAAATTAGTCGTTGCACCCTCCCATTTTACGACTACGACTACATAAATTTACTGTCTCCAGAGAAAGAAAAAACCCCTCTACCCTCTGGACTCTGCAACTTGCTTATGACCATGTGTGCCAGGAAGTTTTAAAAAAAAGTTATGCCCCCAAAATTGATTTCATGAATAATTATTCTATTTTTTCAGTATTGTTCTGCTGGCTGCTGGGCCAATTATTGTTGCATATATATTATATATATATGTATATATAATACTTGTTTCAGTAATTTTGAGACTCAGATTGGGCTAAAAAAAGGTATAGGTGCTTAAGGTAACTGTCGTATACGTGTCTTGACTGTCGTCTAATTGCAGGGTGGCAAAATTAGTTGTTGTATCCTCCCATTTTACGACTACTACTGCTTAAATTTACTGTCTCCATAAAAAAAAAACCTACCATATGGCCTGGCCTCTGCAACGTGCTTATGACCAAGTGTGCCAGGAAGTTTAAAAAAAAAAAAAAATGCTCCCGAAAGCAATTGATTTCATGAATAATTATTCTATTTTTTCAGTAGT